ACTCCAAAACCTTTTTAATGGAAGCAAATATTTTTAATTTTTTTCTAATTTGTATATTGTGCGCTTGAACCATTGGAGAAGCAAATCATTTTCTTCGCATCACAAAATTCCCGCTTTAAAAAGACAATTATTTTACTCTGAAAAAGATGAAAAGAAGCGGTATCATGTTTCATACATTCTGAAATTATAACAAATATTTTCTGTCGAATTTCATCTTTGAAATAGACTACAAAGGGTTGAATTGTGACTAGGTTATTGTTCCAATGCACACCTTGAACTGAATATTGCACAATAAAGGAATAATTCTTAACACTTCCATATTTTAATCTCCTTCCTCCAAGACTAATTCTGTTCACATCTACTTCCGCAATTGCTCTATTTATCGTTTTGTAGGCGAATCTATATAAACATTAAAAAGCGATTGTTTTTACGTTTATGTGAATAAGGTGTTAGTTACGTTTTAATAAGAATAAGTTGTTACATTCACTTTGAAATCGGTATTTACTCGCTTAAGAATGTGAATGTGAGAGGCCGAACGTAAGAACGTATGTGCTTCTGAAGCATTACTCCCATATTGTTTTTCTCCTTATTTCCTTAAGTTCAAGATCAGTAAGTTCCAAGACAATACTGTTTGTTTGATTTTGCAAATGTATTTTTACAAATGCCGATAAGAATTAAATGAAATTTGTCGCGCGGCGATTCACCTGTCGCACAGGGATCTATTTGGGTGGTTTAATTCTCTAAACTCTAAAACATGTTTTCGTAAATTTCTTAATATCTTCTGGTCGAATCCGATAACAAATTATCAGTTCCCCACCAAGAGACCGACACGCGTCGAATGACACCTCATATCTCTCGATTGGTGCAGGGGAAGTGGTCTTACCGCGAGTGACGGATCCGCACACACGCACTCACACTCAAATAGTGTATAGGGATTATTTTTTCTCAAACAACAGAAAAAAGTAAATCTTTTATAATATAAATTTGAAGAACCGCAAAATGAAATGTCGAAATATATTATTTTAATTGTCCTAATATGAGGGAGGGCAGTTGCCCCCCCCCCTTGCCATCCCTGAAACCCGTCTGAAAACTAAGTTAATTTACTATAAATGCTTTATCTATCCTTGCATGCGCTCGCATCGGCAATCAAATGCTTTCTTCACAAATTTTGACCCTCGTGCCTATTGTCAACTTTTTCGATTGTTTTTTTATATCGCAACCTCATGTTCTCTTTGTAAATAATAGACACTACTATTTTACTTTCATTCTCGGGTTCTAATACTTCGAGTGAGTCACTATATCATCTTTTTTTCAAATTAATAATCTCGCGGAGATATCTGGGAATGTCTCAACACATTTAAAAATTTGGAGCCGTTTCTATGTAAATGATGTTTACGCGTTACTGTAGAAGCGAAATTCGAATATTTTCACAGAAATTATTTGAGATTTCGATAATCATTTGAAGAACTTTAACTCACAAATGCAATAGTGTTTACAAATCGCTGGCATATTAACGGTGTCAGAGATATTTAATTCTAACGCATTTGTATAATTTTTTAAAAACAAAAAATACAGCAAAATTAATTTTATGTCATCTTAAATAGTGCAATTAGGACTATCCGTATGAAAAGTTTGAAGAAAATTTTCAAACGTTTTTGAGGTGATGGCGTTTGAGCGTTTTGAGTTCATTTTCACAGAAAACTTTTCAGTTCTTGAAAAATTTGATATGACATTATTTAAATCATATGTATGCATAAATACAATAACATGAACAAATTGCCGCTAATGTAAAAATTTACGACTTGAGAGACAAGTAAAAACATTATTTTTGGAATTTTTGAAAATACAAATAAATAAAGAAAATTATCATTTCAGTCATCTATCTACAAAGTACATTTTTTGAAATGTTCTCAATTTTATGGTTTCCTAATATTATATTATGATTACTAGAGAAGAGTAAAACCTCGTCCTAAATGGAAATTCTCTTTAAAAAGCTGTAGTCGTTTTTAAGAGAAGGGTGTTTAAGTGTTACTGCAAATGCGAAATTTTAAGCTCTTTTTCACACAATACTTTTGAGTTTTCGAAACACTTCCCATGATGTTATTTAAAGCCCTTAGAATCAAAAATACAACAATATACACAAATTGCTGGAAATGTGCATAATAACGGTGTGAGAGATTATTAAAAAAATAATATTTTTTAAAAACAAAAGAATAGAGAAAAACTAATTTCATTGTCATAGTAAACAGTGCCGTTATCACTATCCAGACATGTTTGAAGAAATAATTTGCCGGCGTTTTTGAGAAAATGGCCTTCGAGCGCTTCTGAAAAAGCGGAAATATGAGTTTGTTTTCACAGAAAACTGGAATTTTCAAGAAACATATGACTTACATCTTACTCCTTTAATTACATTATAGCATAAGTGCTCGTAAATACAATAAAATGAAGAATTCAACGCTAGTGTAAATATTAACGATGTGAGAGAGAAGTGAAAAAAATTATATGTTTGTGTAACATATTAGCCAGCGTGCCTCGTGGCATCTATTTGGGGACGCTTGGTAGAGGATTAGTAAGAGGAAACTCTTCGCCACAGAAAGGAAAGAAGGGTTTTTCCGTAAAGCAAGAACGCGGAAACGGGAGACACAAAGCTTTGGGGTCTTCCGGTCTTAAGAAACGGAGACCCAAACCCTTTTTAATTGTTAGCATTATAACAGCGGAGGGGGTGGCGTGACGTAGTAGGTCACGAGGGCCTCGTCTATATAACGGAGTGTACAGAGCCAATGGGTGGGTTCTGGAGACAGTGGGAGAACCTCGTGCATGTGCACAAAACTTGGCGCCACGACGGTGCATATGCGAGCCAGGCTGGCGAGGCAAGTCACGAGTTGACGAAGCCTGCGGAGGAGTTTGTGTCCTTGGGTGACTGCGGTCACGGGGGAGCGATGCTGTGTGCGTGCTCCGAGGTGGAGTGGTTGAGTGCCACGATTCACGCCGATTCTCAATCGGATAAGATCACTCCTGCGATCGAGGCAAATCATCCGGGTACGCCAGACGGACTTTGTGTCCCAGTGTGACATCCGGTCATGGAAGCTAAGCTTTGTGCGCGCTTCAGAAGTAGGAGTGGCGAATGTCATAATCGAAACCGATCATCAATCGAGTTTGGATCGCTCCCGCGATCAGGGGATAGTAGGTCTATCAGAGCTAGAGTGTAAGAAGGAAATTAATTGTAAATATTTGTTGTGATTTCTTTGTTAATAAATATATTTGTTATATGCAAGCTCTGTGTCTGTGTTTGCTATGAGTATCCATGACGTCACATTTGTAATAAAAAATAGAATAGAGCAATATGGCGTTTATGTCATCTTATAGAGTACATTCAGTATTATCCCAACCAAAATTTTAAAGAAGAAATGGAGCTGTTTAAAAAATCTTGTTTTTGTTATATATTATAATTGCAAATATAAAACTCCTGGTGCTACAACGGACGGTTTTTCAAAATGTCCGTCTATCTTTCAATCCGTCCGTCTGCCCGTCTCTGTCCGCTTCTAGTTCTTTCATTAAGCTACTGTACAGTTTTTAAAATTTTTGTAGTTGTTATGCAATATTGTGTGCAATATTTGCAAATTATAACATTTAAAAAACAAGATATACTCAAAAAACCCTCAAATGTTTTTCTTTAAACTTTTGGAAAGTGGTAATATTGTTACATATAAGCTACGAGATGAAATAAACATCACTTTTCTCTATCCTTTTGTTGTTGTTTTTTAATTGCCAAAATGTAATTTATTTTACTAGTCTCTCAATTTGATATTATTTACATTAGCGGCGATTTGTTCACATCCTTGCATTTAGTTACATTTGTTCGCATTATTGCGAATAGTGCTTTAAATGATGTCTTATAAAGTTTCTTAATAACAATAGTTTTCTGTGAAAACTAGTTTATATTCCGCATTTTCAGGTACGTTTCGCACTTTTCCATAAACGGTTCCCAATTTTTTTTCAAACGTTTCGAAAGGATAGTGCTAGTTGCATTCTTTAGTATAACATAATGTTCATTTTTTCTCTTTTATCAAAATTACACAAATGTTTTTTTTAAAGATTTCTCACGTGGTTAATATACACATTTCCACGGTTCTAGAAGTAGAAGTGAACACAAATTAGGCTGAGTTTGTAATGTTTCAATCTCTTCAAAAATGTGAGGAGAAAATATGGAACTGTTAAGGAAATCTGTGGAAGACTGAAAAGTAGATGTAAAAGATGTTGCGACAGAATTTTCGGAACTAATTGTAATGATATGTATTTTTGCATTTAGCATTTGTGCTAATGCAAATGTGATATGTGCATTTTTGTGCATATTAGAAAAATAGCGAAAAATGTAGCAGTACTAAAATTTAACTATTAGCATCATCAAAACCTACAAGCAATTATTACGGCGATTATAATTTTGAAATTGCAATAAAACCAGTTCATATCCCGCAAGTAACATACAAGGCCATTCGGTTTTAGTAACATTTTAACGGGAATTAACCTTATCAGATACTAGGATTCATTGATAATTGATACTGAAATAACATATTTGAACAAATCTGGACATGAACTTCATTTCAACACTTGAAACTATTTTTAAAACTGTTTACAGCGTCGGCGGCGCCACATTTTACTAGTTCAAACATAATTACATTATGTACTCTCGCCGACCCGTACATTGGGTAACGGCCAAATTCTGAAGTCCCAGTCTTTCTACACATTCTATCAACATGGTACGGAGGATAACGTTATCCTTCTGGTTCTTTCATAGCAACTATTACACAAGAACATTCTCAATCTACTGCCAAGTTGGCAGTGCCAACCACTCAGCTGCCTCTCACTCAGAAGCTGATATTTTTTAATAGGCTATATTGCCCAGATATTGCCCCCAATCATGATCTCTAGCATGAATGTTTCCCTTGATAAGCGTGTATATCCTAAGGTTTGAGAGTGTTGGCCAGGGCCCGGCAACTCTCCATCAAAATCGGGGACAAAGCTCGAGGTTGCTACTATAGGAAGCGCTAGTGTCGCCGGGTGCAGCTGCAGGTTAGGCTCGCCAACTTTCCCACATACAAATTGGCTAATTTGTGACAAATACGAAAAGTGTCTTCTAGATGTACAATTATTCATAATCTCAACTTGTAAGAAACTTCTGAAGAAATCACGAACGTATACGTTATCTTTTGTAACATTATGGTCCTGCTTGCGACCCGCGAACTCACGCAGCAGTCAGGCACGTTGAAAGTTTTGTTGGCAGCAGTTCCTGTTTTAGTTCCTGTAAAGAAGGTGATGCTCTAGAGCGCGCCACCGTCATGGTCCCCACCACGTTATATGGGAGTTATAGGGCCCTGGTGTTGGCGCTTCTGCACCCGGGGCACACGGAGGGTGTTGTATTATTGTATTTTTTTCCTTTTCCCTCCTTACATTTATCTGTCCCTGTTGATAATGGAACTTTAAACAGGAGAGATTTGTTTGAGATTATAAATGTGCATACACTTTGTTTTTATGATATTAATTTTAATTACCAAATAGTTTGATGGGATACTTTCTTACCATCAATTTTTCATTTTCACATCCTTGTACACAGGCAGCAATTCAAACTGAAAAAGGTAAGTTTCTTGTATTGTGTGAAATTCAAATAGATGCTTGCTATTGAAAGCATAATGTATTGGTAATAATTTGTTGTTTATTAATACAGGTTCTTGGGTCGTTATGTATGCTGCTACTTCATGTGCGGCAGATGCATATGCTAGCCCTTGTAAATGGTAAGTATTCGCTACAATCTTTAAAAAACTCAATTATCACTTTGCATATTTTGAAGGTGGGGAAAATTTCATATTTGTTTCCATTTTCAGATCTTTTAAACCCATGTGAGGTGTCACTTCAAGTTCTTATGGATGTTTCTCATGGTAAGCTTTTCCTTTGAATATACAGTTATTAGAAAAATGTTGTGAAAATTATAGAAAATAAAAACAAATGTTATTGTGGTTGGTGATTACAGATCCTTGTACCACTGAACAGGTGACCTAATCCATTCTGGAAGATGAAACTGTGGCTTCAGTAAGTAAGATTAAGATATTCTGAGTGGAACATTCATTTGATGACATAGTATCTTTCTTAACAGCATTTTTTGCTTTCCAGATCCTCTTCCAAAGATGGCTTCTGAAGCATTTACAATTGACCCTAAATGACAATAAGTTTTCGGTGCAATCAAATATTTGAACTTAGACAATCCATTTTTAGAATTAAATTGTGGTGCATAAGCATTGTTGGACCTGTTACATTCCAACTCTTTTCTGTTTTCTCAAAAATTGATATATTTTTCTACACGGCCAGCCTACACGGTATTTCAAAATTTTATGACCGTCCTAGCTAGTCCAATTCAAAATTGTGCAGCTATGGCAAGTTCCATGAAAATATTTGCCTTAGAATTTGTAAACATTTGTGACTCATGTGTGGTTCACAGACATTAAAAACCATTGGGTTTGTGAATCATGTATGACTCATAGGACAGTGAATGTGATTAAGTGATGTGTATTCTTGGATTAAAATAAAATGAAAGGCAGTAATACTGTTTAAAAACACATGGTGAAAGTGATTTTATTGTGCTCGAAGGATTGGGGCACCTGATGTATTGGCCATGTGATGCTACCTTTCCAACTTGCAAAATCAAATGGCACTTGTATCATAATTATTTGTTTTACCTGGGTGAATTTGTGGTAATGTTTTTATTTGTTCCTTTTCAACACTGTTGGTATTGTTCATGTATAATGCTATCTAACAATGTAATATTCCATAGTATTCATATTAATTCGGCATGTCTACAAGCTAGTAAAGTTGCATTTGAGCTGGTGTACTGTGTTTATTAACTGGTGTAATACAAAATTGTTCTATTGAAATTGTAATATCAATATGTTCAATAAATACTAGCATTTACTGCCCTAATTTGACTTTTTTCTTTCATAAAATCCTTATAATTATTACTGTGAATTTTTTAATAAATAAAGGTGTGAAAATTATGGGAGTGAAATTTTCAAGTTCCCGCGTTGCTGGACCCTTGAGCAAATGTTGAGATGGCCCCTTGTTTGCTCCTGAACAGTAATGTAACTTCGCTCTCTCCACCCAAGACATACACGATAGTAATCATGTGACTCAATAAATATTATTATTATTATTATTATTATTATTATTAATTATTAAATTTACCGGTTGCTTCTTCGCTAATGGCTGTCCAATAGAAATTATCCTGCTACCCAATAGAAATTATGCAAAACAATGTGGCGGCACCGGAAGTTGGGTTAATAGGGCTTTTCCTATTAACATTGAGTGCTGGCCAGGTGCTGGTATTAACCTTAAAATAGATGTCACCATGTGGCATGAAGCAAAACGTGTGGCAAAACGACAGTAGCGAACGGTGTACCAAGTTCCTCTGTATAGGGACTATGTAGAGGGACTTGGCTCTACACTGTAGTCCGTACTCCGTAAAATACTCTCTGCCGTACTCTCAAACTGCGAGAGTTTCCCCTCTTATTGCATAGTCCTCCACGCAGCCACTATCAAGCCGGGGCACCAGGGCCCTATAACTCCTCCCATATAACGTGGTGGGGACCATTACGGTGGCACGCTCTGCTACATCACCTTCTTTACACGAACTAAAACAGGAACTGCTGCCAACGATTCTTTAAACGTGCGTGACTGCTGCGTGAGTTCGCGGTCGCAAGCAGGACCATAATGATACAAAAGATAAACGTCACGTTCGCGCTTTCTTCAGAGGTTTCTTACAAGTAGTATTATGAATAATTGTACATTTAGAAGACACTTTTCGTATTTGTCACAAATTAGC